AAAAATATATATAAAATAAAGCTAATATATTTATATTTTTTTCTTTTTTTTCTTTTTTTTTTGTTGCTGCTTGCTGCTGCTGCTGTCTCTGTTCTCCTTACATATACACAACTAAACGCAGAAGACCATAGATGGCATTGGCCTGCCTTCTGGAGTGGAGGGTCAGTTGCTGCTGCTGCTGCTGCTGCTGCTCCTGCTGCTCCTGCTGCTGCTGTTGCTGCTGCTGCTCCTGCTGCTGCTGCTGCTGCGGATGGTGCTGATGGTGCTGCTGCTGCTGCTGCTGCGGATGCTGCTGCGGATGATGCTGATGGTGATGGTGCTGGTGCTGTTGCTGCGGCTGCTGCTGCGGATGGTGCTGATGGTGATGGTGCTGCTGCTGCTGCTGCTGATGGTGGTGACGGTGCTGCTGCTGCGGACGGTGCTGCTGATGGTGATGGTGCTGCTGCTGTTGCTGCTGATGGTGATGGTGCTGCTGCTGTTGCTGCTGCTGATGGTGATAGTGCAACTGCTGATGGTGCTGCTGCTGACGTTGCTGCTGTTGCTGCTGCAGCTGTTGCTGCTGCTGCTGTTGTTGCTGCTGTATGCATTGTGTATGATATTAAGTAAACTCTATAAACCTAAAACAAAAAAAACAATAAAACTAAAATATATAATAATATATAAATAATAATAATATATATAACAATAAAAATATAATATATATTATATATATTATATATATAATATATATAAATAAAATATAAAACGAGAGTGTATGTATGTTGTGTGTGTGTGTGTGTGTGTCTGGTGCTGCAGCAGTATCTCCCTTTACTTTTTGCTGCTGTCTTTGTTTTATTATTTTTTTTATTTTTCGGGTTCGTTGCTGCAGCAGCTGCATTTTCTTTTTTATTGTTTGCTGCTGTCGTGGGCCCTTTGTCTCTCTCTCGGCTCTCTTTCTTACTTCTCTTCCTTTCTCTTCGTTAAAACTTTATACAGCCGCATCAAAGTAGACTGAGCAGCAGCTGCAGCAGCAGCAGCAGCAGCAGCAGCGGCAGCAGCAACAGCAACAGCAGCAGCATAGTGAAGAACTGCTTCGGTCTATTGTCCAGCCCTTATATATATATATATATATATA